ATTTCACGTTGAGAGGCATGAATCTCAAGTCACTTTTGTTGGTGTTTTGCAAGGTGCTGAGCGTCGTATTTCAGATTCCAAAATGCTCGCGCGTAACATTAACTCTTGCGATATGCGTATGAGGTTAGTACCTCAGCAGTATTGGAGTCTCCCCGGTACCGGTCAGTCGTCTCTGCATAGGCTGCTTATTTTTCTCTTTAAGACCGCAGAGAACAGTGGCTCGTCAAAATATATGAAGGCATGCAAGATAACCCCCCCCACGTGGGTTCTACGCCATTGGTGTTGCCGACAGACTTACGTACTCAGGCTACTCCCGTGCAAAGCCAGTCGTTTCAGGCAATTCTCCGGTTCCACAAACATCTAAACATGTTTATCGGTCAATAGACCAACTCCTTTTGCATGTATACAGGAGGTTCAGTTGCGCCTTGTGGTCTAGTCTCCTTATTCATTTTCTGGCCTCAGTTGGAACGAAGAAACCCTTATTTTTCACTTGCAGCATATCGGACAAGCGCATTACGTATAAAGGCGCATTTCCATATGCGCGTTAACACTCGTGCCACCGAACGCAACGCACTTGTGTTTTTTAAATTTTAAATGATGCAGTCGTCACTTTGCAGAGGACACTATCTAAACAACCTCCGATCCCTGAGCCATATGCAGCAAGGTATGAGACGGAGAGAACCCCCCCCCCTGCTTTGTGTTGGTCATTGTCTCGCAGGAATCTGGGCAATTCCTTTCAGACATCTTGGGGGTCGTGTTAAGTAACAATAGTCTGGAATGTGTATAGGGATTGGACATGTTGAGGGGGTACCCCTCGGTCTCATTTCTTGCCGGGTGTACCCTGAGCACTGAAGATGATTTTGGGAGCCGGCTCGGTCCACGTGTTGGGTTTTCAGTCCCTACCTGATTCCGTGGGCTTTACCCAGAATATTCCTCTGGGGTTTTCCTCCCACCTCTACAACTGTAACTGCTTCTCATTGTCTCCCTTAATTTCTACAGGTTTCTTCAGGCTTGCGAGCTACAGCGCATGGCGAGCTTTTGAGGAATCCTTGGTGTCATTACCAGTGTGAAGAAGTGACAAGGTTCACTTGGAAAGAGAGGCGTGGCTCAAAAGGGTAACACAACAACTCTATGGCAGCGATTAAACTGATGAGCAGGATGGTTTAATGAAGAAACTGTCTGTTTATTATACCCAGATAATTAGAAACAGGGGGTAGTGACTTGCAATTGGCCTGGATACAGTAGCAATCTTGAGGAAAGTGCGATTTGTAAATGGAATGGTGGAGCTGAAACCAGTGATGAAGTCTTGGAAATATGGAACAGAAAACCGTGGTGACTGGGGAATAAACAGAAATAAATACTAATAAATTCACTGGAATGCACGTTCATGTGCCCACTAGACGACAACATAATTGTACATGTAACGTTGCAACAATTGTCCCCGATTAAGGCTAAGGTTTGTACTCTAAACTTCTCTTTTTTTTTACTAACACAAGAGTCACTATATGATTTTATACCGTAAACACTAAAGAACATATAGCTGTACTCACAATTTTCAGTAATGCACGGTAAGGGCAAATTTGGAGGTATTCTGATTGGAAAAGTGCTTGGAAACTATTGAGCGGTCAGTCGACAGTGAGGGACTTTCTTACAACTAGGAATGGTTAACAATAATAATAACATAGAGTGACTGTAAGGGGAATGTCACACACGAAACAAAGGTACATTTTGAATTATTTCAGAAAAATGTTTCTTAGAATGTGTTTTTCCACTGTGCAAAGTCTCAGTTTGTCTTTAGCTTGTAGAAAGGGTTGAAGGCAGTGGCGTAGCCACGGGGTGCCTGCCCCCCCCGCCACAAATTCCCGGTAGCCCCCACTGAAAAAAACGGAGGAATGAATATTGAACACGGCTAACAAAAACTTGCCCCCCAAAACACACCACTGAAAGCTGGTGCCCCCCCTTTAAGACGCTGGTGCCCTTTTGTGCCCCCACCAGTAAAATTCTAGCTACGCCACTGGTTGAAGGTTTCATTTACCCCAGGAGTTTGACTCTGTTCAAAAGTTCATATATAGTATCCCAATCAAAAGTAACATCAACAACAATTACATAAATAAGGGTAGGCTGGCATTTAACTTTTTCATAATAGATATTGCATCTCAGGAGGTGCCCCTAGTTTAAAATCTATCAGCACGTCTGGTGCATTTTCTGTTTTCATACACATTTTCGCCTCATTAAAAAGTAAAACAAATCGCCTGCCCAGAGCACCGATGCCTAATTACAATAATAAAGTACCTTAGTCATAGTTTAATCCTTGATAATTTTAAAACCACTGGATTTTGTAATAAACACTCATGTGAATATTCTTATTCTTTGTACATTTTGAACAATAAATTTGCCTCTATAAATCATCACAGCCTCTTTCATAAATAATTAGATTTGAAAAGTTGATGGAACACAATAATTATTATCCTGAAAATCTTATCCAAATTAATGAGGTCTTAGAAGCACTGGATTTCTGAATATACACTCACGTGAAATTTATACAGATTTTTGCTTTTTCCACATTTTTGAACTAGAAAATTTGTCCCATTAAATCAACATAGCCTCTCCTTCAAGCATAATTAGAACTCAAACTTGTTACAACACAATTGTCCAAACGTGATTAAAGTTAACGAAAGTAATGGCTATCTTTACATATATTTCTGCCCTTACTGCCTCCTCACATAAGATAACGAGCACTGGGAAATTTTACTCACGTTTTTTTATAAATGGAATGCATTTACTGTTTGTGAGGCATGAAAATGGTGGCATTTCTTGTAATGACTACTTGTGGAGAAACATTCCGTGGTATCCAAAAGACACCTCTGCCTCCACCTCGGCCCGAGCAACCTCCGTAAAATCCCGTGCATCCAACACCAGAAGAAATGAATGTTTCCCTTTTCTGAGATCAACTACCGAGGATAGAACAACTCCTGTAAAATAAATCATGAGGAATTGAGAATTGATACTGAACAATCTCTAAAAAGAGAGGAGATAAAAATGAATTCAACGCGTACATGAGTTAAGGCATACTTCACGAGAAAGCGAACACAAATGCAATTTTGTGACGTTAGATCAAAAATTCACTCTGCGAATTCGCAAAAGTTGAAATGAAAAAAAATTGAACTCCAGCAAAATTTCGATGCAAATCTTTCGTGACGTCAAATTCGTTTCGCTTTCATTCGCCTAGAGTATGAACATGCCTTTCCGTGGTCAAGCCACGACATAACTAGAACGTACAGTTTCTTTAATTCCTCGCGATAGGATACAAGTAATCTCATTCCATTGATCTGAACACTGGATGCAAAACATGTAGTTGGAAGTCTCGTTATTTAACGTAGCACCGTAGGTTATAACCATTGGACTGATTAATATTTGGACTATTGAACTTCGGGCAACGAACCCTCGGACAAACGAAACCCTCGGACTATTGACTGTTTAGAGAATTGAACCCTCGGACTATTATACCATTGAACTCAGAATCGAACCTTTGGACAATTGAACCATTGGACTTCTTAGCCCTCGGAGCGTTGAACCCGACTGTGACCCACTGCGCGCTGCATCTAATGATATATCTTTTACAAAAAGCTTAAATACACTGTCTGGAATTGTTTAAAGCAACTGGCTGCATGCGTTTGTTAAACCACAACCGGAGCCCAATCAATCTAACGCCCACGGAAAATATTTCATAATTATTACACGATTACTTTAAATATTTAGAAAAACCTAACATCTTCCTCATAACAAAGAGCAAAGGATTTAATTGCTGCTGTTGTAATGTCATTTAAAGCAATCGTTCTTTCATCAACGTCTAACTCTTTTCATTACTGTGTCATATATTGATGCTGAAAATTGCAGAAGACACTTTGGCATTAAAAAGGAAGGGGCTAAGGGGGAACCTGCCATCTCCAGGAGAAGAGGAGGGAGGCATGAGGGGAGGGAAAAAACTTTGATCTTGTGCGGTTTCCTTTGGAGTAACTTCAATACACCTGTACTTTGCTTGGCAATCCGAATGGTATGGAGTACACCAATGTGCACATGATACCTACCATCATCTTCACTCTTACAATCCGGTGACCTGACAAATATTGGCTCTGACGGAAAGCAGCCATCTTCAAACCACTCTTCAGACGTCACACTTTTGGTGTCTACTTTCAGCAGCTAAATGCCAACACAAATGCGTTTATTACTAATGACAGTACGGTTGGTATGTGGAGAATTGAATTATGCATGATGTACTTGTATTAGTCATTAATGTCACTTCGATGATTCTTGTCTTTGATGCTTTAAAGTCGTCTTCAAGATATTATGTTTTTAAAATCTGTTCGACAGAGCGAGGGCAAACTTTTAACCCACCACGTACAAAACATATAAAACTATAATCCAAATAGCGTCGTTAACCGCTATAACACTAACATAATTTTATTTCTTCTAATGTCAACATAATGTTTTCACATACCTCTGAGGGACTTATATGAATTTGTAATTTGTTTGGAAGACGTTGGTTAGTTTACCGTCCAGATTTAAGTGGCGTATCGGGAACACCTGGGAATATACTTTTGTCATGGGGAGTTTCGCTACTGCTAGGTTTTCTCTAAAACAGATTGCATTTGATACAGTTTGGTTCAGATTGATCACAATACATGCATGTCTTCGGGCAAGTAATTTTGACTCCGAATGGTTTTGGTGCGTTTTACGTTTGTCTTCATGGGTCGCACGTCGTCCAAGGCAGAGTTTACAAAGCATACAGTGGAGAGAACAAAACAAGCCTGTCTGTAACTGCCTGACGTTGTTCTGTTGGCGGTTGGAATACTATCAGTATGGATGTGAACAAAACTTGGTTAGCATTTCTGAAATTGAACTATGAAAAGTTATGAGATTACTGAAATGAAAAAAAAAAACCGGTTTGCACGAACTCTGCCGATGAGGCACTCACTTTTCTGCGCAACAGAATGTGGGCGTTACACAATAGCACCCCCAAGAGTTTGTAACGCGTTTGCCAATCACAATGCGCGAAATCTGTCGACCGAAGAATGCGCGTTTGCAAAGGGTCGACAATTTCGCGCATTGTAATTGGCCAACGCGATGCTAACTCTGGGAAGCACGTTATTGTGAAGCGCCCGTTTTCATTGCAGATATAGTATGGAAACACTGAACATTGTTCAGACGGGTCATTTTCTCCAGTATCACAATTTAAATTGTGCATAAAAACCACCAGCGGTCCGTCTACCAAGGGAAGAAACAGAGAAAAAGAGGGAGAAAGCGTGAGAGTTAACTTTATCCTTTTACCTTTTGATTAAGTTCTCCGCCGTTTGCGTAGAAGAACCTGTATGGCTTGCCATTGTATAACTCGTAATTCATCCGCGGAAACTCAACATCTGCAAACAGTGTAATTACAACAAATACACATCATATTAACTAAATTGACGTCAAAAGGATAAAAAGCAAAACTGTAACAAAAAACGTCTTCATTCATCAACTTTATGTTAATTTTGGTCATAGACGGGCTAAACGTGCCTATACTCGAAATTTAACTATGCTCAGCTTTCATGTCCTTCCCTGCATTACACCAATCCATTTCATCAACCCCAAAGTCTTTCGGCCAATCACAGTCACAGTTTGTGATGCATGCATTAAAGCCTGACATCACTTATCTTCATCTGGCCCGAGCTGAAATAAAAGACTGTAACAACAGTCCTTTTGGACCATAGAGATCACCACAGTAAAACTAGAGGTGACAGGCGAAGTCTTTTACGTTACGGAAATTTGGTTCCAGAACAGAGTGACATGTTCTATTACGCTACCATGTTAACGGGCACGCGATTACGCACTCATGCAGTCCACCCGCAGATATACATGTACAGACCACCAGTGTAGCGCGTAAAACCATGATTTTGCAAAGCGTGGGAAACATTAACTCCAGTAATGGAGATCATGGGCGGGCAAGCAGTGGACGAAACGACGGATGGCAGCGCGTCAGTGCGAATTGAGCATGGCGCACTGGGAATACATGTATTGATTTACATGTGCTCTCAAAATACGTTCCCTTTTTTACTCTTTAGTACTGCTGTCTCTTCTTTTCAAATGTAGCAACCGCATTGTTTCGAATGCGTATGGATCAGATTAAGTAAACAGAGGGTTTTTTTCACAATCGAAAATTGGATTCATAGAATTTTATGGCTGGAATTCATCAACGGTGTGTAAATTCCCCATACCGAGGGGTGAATTTGCCCACGCTTTTTGATTTAGTAGGATGTCGTCTCGGCTACGGTACCCCGCCACTGTTTTGAATGGGAGCTGTCTATCTAGCCTATGGGTTTATATGTCTGTGGGTCCACCCCAAAATGTTCAACGCATGTGAAGCTTACTGACGTCATCAATATTCATATGCTCTTGCGTCTCAGTGCGCTTGTGCGTATGGTGTTCTATCCAGATTAAAGACGGATGCGCCACGATTTGCAGGCTCCCATTACAATGGAGATCCAGGAGTTACATGCATTGATCGCCGTTTACATGGAACCATGGGACTGGAAGTTAACGTGCAACTTCAGCGATCGCCCAATGGGAGCATGAAATCGTGGCGTGTTCGCCTTTGTGACGAAGTCACTTACGAACCGGATGGACGACAGATTGCGTCGCGTCGTCCGGTCACCCCGACAGCACGACGAGACGCCGCGACGCCTCCTTTCTCATTACTTGTGTGCATTGCGTTGTGTCGTGCCATTGTTTTTTGTCGCCATGCGTGTTTTACACGCACACGTACGCGTCCGCGAAGTTCCAAGTTGTTGGTGCGTTAAGGGACAATTTACTTGCTCTGTGCCTTCTCTGGTTCTATCCCAATGTTTGGGACTCACCACGCATGTGTGGACGCTCGTGCGCTGTTTGTGTGGGAAACACTGAACGCAGGCGATAAATTTGTGTTTGTTGGAATCATAATAGACAGTTTAAAGGTGGTGTACACCATTGGTAAAATCCCAAAAATCGGACTACCGTATAATCCTGAAATATCTTACTTGAAAGAAAGTAGGCCCCCTACACAACAGTTTCAATCAATCTGTAAAATGTTTCCACCCAGAATGCTGTAGTTTTCGAGAAAAACAAAAAGTTTGTTCTCTTTTATTACGATGGTCGGCCGACCATCGTTGGAGAGTTAATCCACTTCGCTCATCACATCCTTTAACAGGCGCCAAATTTCTTATAGCCTATGTAGCGTTTGCAGATGTTGTGGGAGTCTCCATTAATGAACAGATAAACCTAAAAGTAGCTACAAATTATACTAACATTCTTTCACCCAAAACATTGTGAACTGAAATTATGGAAACCTGAGTGTTAGGCATAGAGTAGAAAATAAATAGGATCCCTGAGAAGTTGAATTTTATTTAAGGAAAGGTTTTTTAACGGAAAACTTCCCGAATTCAAAATAGGCCTAACCCCTAGATAATAATAGTATGATCCAATATGGCGGCTGTTTCCGAGCACGATGATTTTCGTCAACCAAAAGTACAATTTCCATTTCATTTTTTATTTCATTTATTATTTCGCAGGTCAAATTTACAATGAATAAAACAAAGTAAGTAAAAAAAATACATAAAGTAAAGATATAAAAAAGACGAAGGGTAAATATAGCGTCAAACCTTATAAAAAGACTGAGACCCAAACATCAAAATAGTTGCATGCCCCTGCGGGATTACTAACAAGTGAACTAAATCACTATCAAGTAGTTCTCCTATAGCATGACTAAAAACCCTAAATTGCAAAATCGTGTTCTAGCTCATTCAGCCGAATGCAACAACGAGTTGTTGCTCACTGAACCGGCGAATGGTATTAGCCACCCCGGCCGCTTGTCAACAGTTGCACAGCTAGGCACTCTGCAGACTGAACGCGATAAAACGTACTGCTATCAGTGGCTTGAGATATGTAGCTGCCGCCGGCAAATTTAATCCAGGTACACAATTCTTACCATGACAAATCTTAGCCTAGTTCTACGCCAACACAGTCGGGACTTCGTATTTACGAGGTGGGAATCAGACCATGCCAATGTACAATTTCGGAAGTTTTTGCTGAAAGAAAAATCCGCCAGAGCCAGGAATCAGAGGCAAATGTTAATACTCTTTAATTACATGTTGGAGCCAGTTTATAACTACAAGAGAAGGATAATGTTAACTTTTGGGACAAAAAAGACACCAGTTGGAATTGAATCCAGCTGGGACCGTACTATGCGATATCAAAATGTGAACATCACGTCCATTACACATACACTGTACTATGGAGCTTACTTGGAATCTGGTGGTAATTTTGTAACCTTCACAGCCTTACTCATGCAAAAGCATCAATAAGGGCGCTTTATAGTTGTAGCCGGCTAGTAAACACCGTGCAGTTGAATTTAACCGGCGACTGCTAAATATCCACTCTCTTTCAGAATCAAAGTGTTATGCCTATTTCCGGCAGTTTGTGCGTTTATATTGTCTTATGATGTTTGCTGAGCTAACTGGATCGGACGGTCCATTCATTCCTCAATGGACTTCCAGGAGATCATCAACCCACAGTGTAGACTGAAAGTTCATCAATTTTGATTTAAAATGCATGGAGAGTTCAATTTTGAGACTACTGAACTGCCCTTTTTAACCTTGAATTATTCTTGCCTTAGTGTGCATAATACTGTATAAGTGTAAACTGTAAAATTGCTGTTGCAAACTACACCCCATACTTCGATCGGCTATGACTTGAGGGACGCAGTAAACTGATCCATCTTCTTTCAGGGTCACATCTGCCTTGAAGATCTCAAGCCAGTTTGGTCTACTCCCGCCACGATAGTCCTCAATTGTCTAGAAAAAATAGGGATTGAGGAATTAACAAATACATGCATTTCTTTTAGAAAAGAAACATTTGTTTATGTCTGGAAACGCAACAAACTTAAACTCAAAAATCACCTCTCCAACTGGGAGAACGAAACGTTTGGCTTTCCCAAACTGTGCTGGTTTAACACCGTTTCTCAGATCCTTTAAATTGATATCACGAAGAATGGAGCCGTCTTCGTAAATGCACATGTCAATCACCAAATGCCCCGCCTCCTCGTATGCATTAATGTGATGAAAACTCAAGAAAGGGATTGATGTGTAAATCTGCGGTAGGAGTTCTCCGGAGTATCGCTTAACCACGTGAAATCTAGTGGGCCGTTCATCATGGAATTCCATTCCGATGATGTAGCCTGTTGAAATAGATAATGACATTGAACTGGATTACAACCATAAATCAATTGGCCTTATTCACAAGTCTCACATGCTGAATTGAAAGCGGAGTCAGCTTTTATTTTAGATTGGTAACCTGAGAATAAAAATGAAAGCAATAAAATACAAGTTCGTTACAAATTAGTGAATTTGTGGTGTGTTAAAGCCACATTAAAAAAGTAAAGAAAAGCAAAGCCTGGAATCCAAAACTATAGTCTGGCAGATCCCATATAACAAAGTACACTGGGTAAGATTCTTTGAACATTATCAAAAATGGCTTCCCTGTAAATACAGTTCACTGGCTCATCATATAGGGGATATAGTTTATAGAGTCACAGGTAATAATTAGCCTTGGATGCGACCCAACCCAACCAACACAATGAAAATGACGCACTTTTGAAGAAGAGCTGTGCGTAGAGTACTTTAAGCAGATTGATGACGGCAGATTGCTCCACAAACACGAAGTAATTGTCCGTCATTGCAAAGCTGTGATAGAAGGTAGGATAGGTACCAGATGCAGGGATGGAACACAGAATCGAGGCGTTACTCAACGGGTCTCCCTTGACATCTGCGTAGACATGATGAGAAGTTGTTAGTTACCGTATGATCAAAGCCATAATTATCATCAACCGTCCTCTGTTATGTCCAACCAACCATATAATTTTCAGTTGAGTGTGAAGCAATTAAAGGCATGTAGCTGGCTAATATGTTTCTGCCAAATTAACGCGTTTCCTGGACAGAGCCATCAAATGAAAAAAACCATCAACCAATACTACGCGGCACGAACACAAATCCTACAATACTACAGCATTAACTCAGGCGTACCTTGGTCATGTGGAGGTATCTTAATGATGTTGTATGAGCTACGATAAGAGAAGCGAGATCCGAGACCGTAGACTGTACCGTCCTTAGCAGTGTGTGGATGAGAACTGGTGGAGTGTACAGCAATCCGATCCGATATATCCACCTGTTTATCAGCGAGATAACATATTCTGCAGTGATGTGACGCTGCTGTATATTAAATATACTGTTCAAAAAGTTGCTGCTGATTACAAAGTTTTGTTTTGAAGAACAACTCTCTTTTACATAAAGGATTTCCGTAGTTTGAGTAGCTTTTTGAGGTTAACAGTAGCGAGTGTAACCACAAGAAGACTAGAAATTCAAGAATGGAATAATAATGATTATATTTATCATATTTGACCTACTGACCTTATGAAGAGTCTCCAAACTGTTGGGATTCACCTTCCGCATCAGCGTTCCGTCTGTGACAGCGTAAAACTCATCTCCATATTGTGCCCAGTTGATGTTACAGTTGTCGGTGAACGTTCGAGGAACAAATCGCGACAGGAACCTACCTAAATAGCTCTGACAAGGGTCTGGTTGTGCCACCGTGCCGAATTCAGACATAACAATGCGGTTCTGCTCCATGGCTTTGATATAAGAATCACTTCGTAAGAATCTACTTTGGTAGGTCACCTTGCAAAAATGAAGAATATAATCCGATGTAAGTGCAGGGTAATTTTGTCTTAAAACATTTGGCATTTCGCGCTGTGATATCAGAGCAACGCTACGAAGTCTTTCCTCGAAACAGAGAAACACCCTTACCGAATCAAGCCAGCATAAACCTAATTGAATTCGTCTCTTTTTATATCAATGAATATTTAAGATGTCGATGTTGGTTCTGGCGTAAAGAAAAAGAATAATGAAAAATAAAACAAAATAAAGGGGGGGTGCCCTGAACGCTCAAAATGAAGGTGAACCCCAAGCATGCGGAACATATTCTTCGTGATAATTTCTGCCTTTTCAGGAAACATACATACATTTAGCTCAATTTTTTTAAATACATATTACTCTATGCTATAGAGGGATTCCACATTTGCTCCATCTGCGCATATCCGCATCGAAACCGAGGCTCTCTGTGTGAACTTCGTCGCACGCGCCCGCGGAGTCGACACATTACATGCAGTATCCGGTTCGTAAGTGTGATGCCACGCCCACTGCACATGCAGATACACGACCATCGCAGGTACGTTAGTTCGCGGTAAATTGCCGTTATTTTTTTCTTCTGATTTTACGTGTTGAGTGATCCTGAAAGACTCTTCCACAAAAAGTTGAAGGCTAAAAAGTCTTACTTTAACATTCCTTTATGTATTTTGTGTCTTGACTCCTTACTTTCCATCGTCTGATCGTAAAAGAATTGAAGCTAACACATACAGCCTCGTTTTCAAACGTGGAAATGCGCAGATCGACTTTAAAAGCGTCGTATTGGGATCCCTCTATAACAGTACGCACGAGATCTTAATGCTTCTTTTCATTGGAAGCGACAAGATGCAAGTAGATTTCCCAGTTCTCAGAAAATCCTGTCACCAATATTTTTCTGAGGGCTGTTTTGCTTTCTTCACACAACGCACTCCTTCTCAAAAAAGCAAAAGAAAAATAGCCCCCAGAAAGTCCTTCATAAGTACCCACTAACAAAGATTAGAAGGAATATTGGTGATTATTAACTGCCCAAAGACGCAGTTTAACTCGATACACAAGTAAAAAGTGGAACTTACTCAAGACCAAAAAATCAAAAGTATGACATAAACAGTTACACAAAGCTATGGAGACACTCCTGATCTCCTTGTATGACTTAAAGCTTCATAGAGGTTTTCATCAACATAAAATAAAAAAAAATAAATTTTCTTCCTCCTACTGCTTCAAAAGAGGTGGAAAATGTTAGCAACATTGAAGGAAAAATTCCTATATAAATTGAAACAATAAGTTAGATTGCACGTCTCCTTTAAAAATCATCAATGGCAGGTGTGAATGGGGGGGAGGGGTAAAGATGTATCTCACTACAAAGAGAGGGTGCTGGGTGTGCTCACACGTACACGTTCCTGTGACATATCCATTAATGTTTCTTTACCATGCCCTTGTGGATATTATAGCGCAGTAAAACTGCCAATCCATCGAACCAATGTTCGTAAGTGTCCGGTCCGACATCAAATTTTCCGGGCCCGTTGCGAAGCAAGCTACCATCCACCCACTCAGGAACTTTACCTTGTTCAAGAAAAAAAGAATCCAGGAATGACACTGAAAAGTGTGAGCAGCATTTGACTCAAATTAAGATTGTCCAAATATAATGTATCCTCAGTGTAAATTATTTTCTAATCTTGAGGATATCCTACTGGCGAGCAATTTAAAGATTCATTTTTCCATTAGGTTGCTTTCTCATACATGCACACCTGCTATTTTCGCAGTACATGATTTATATCTTTGCTGATACACAAAGACGTTTTCTAATTCCCGCAAACTCGTATCAGATTTTAGTCAGGGATGATCAAGATAGCATATGTTATGATTAATTTATAGATATTCGCTTCAGTGAATACATCTTTAAAGAATTTTCAATTTGGCATGTTCTTTAATTTCTCTCCTCTTTCTCACAGCTGTTTTTACCCAATCTTGTCATTCTTCACCTATCCTGCGAATCTCGTGACTAAGATGTATTGTGGAAGTCATTTCCTTATGAAAAGGCTCTAAATATAGACCTGCGCAGCAGGGGAATAAACAGCTGTTGGCATGCGGGCAATATTGTGTCAAAGATGACAGCCTGTCTCCTTATTCCCAGATTAACTGAAATAACAGTATGAAAGGACTAATTCCAATTACATAGAGCTACAGAAGACAAAAGCCATTGGCAAACTTCCTGCCTTTGCGATATTAGTTACAGGTACTTCGGACAGGCGTTATACATTTATACATGCAGGTCTGCCTTGAGGCACCATGCATTTGAAACAAACACAAAGGTATCAATGTAAACAAAAATGTATATATAGAGGTGAAAGAACCATTGAACAGCATCGCTCAAACTACAAGACAAAAAGACCTTTCAATTCTCTTCATTAATTGCTGTTAATAAGAATGATTGAAATTTCATTCTTAGGATCTTTAAAAAAATTCCTACGGGGGGAAAATTCAACGAGGCCGAAAAGTGCAGTATTGAAATTTAAATAATCTGTCCATAAAAATATTATTTCAGTACAACCAACCTTCCTCATCTTTATAATTGCTTCTTATGAGCAGACTTTTTGATGAGTTATTCTAGATGGGAATTAGGTGAATGAATGATAACTGTATTTAACGTTCATCTAAGCAAACAAAAAATAAATAAATAAAAAAATAAACACGATATCAAGATACAAAGCTTACACTCAATCGCCATAATAGGAAAAATGATTTTATTCAGAAACGTGAATATCACATAAAACTTCGGTTTACGCTATCAGAAAGTGGGACGAAATGTGGTTACTATACTCGTGCTTGTAATGCATGTACTCGTGTTTGTGGGCAGTACACAAACAAGTCGAGAACCAGGCTTTTCACATTTCTATCACCTATACTCAACGTGAAGAAGCTCTTTGGCTGATTACACAGATGGTCTGGAATAGATGCGTTATAATTCTCAGTAATTGCTCAATTATTTATTTATTTAAATCTTTGGACATTAAACAAGGAAAATCATCGTTGGCAGGGGATGTCGAGGGAACGCAAAAGTTAAAAGAAAGCCCTGTGAACCCCTACCAACAGTAATATATATATATGTATTTATAAGAACCAATATGATAACTAAAATAACAGTTATCATCAGTCGGTATATCAAAATGTCGTAGTCATTTTGTCAACCTAAGTACACCGCTTAAATGTGTTCCCACATCGCACATCACAGGCTCAGCGCAGCGCGCTACAGAGCACAATAGATAAGGGTCCAGTCCACTAATTCAAGCCCCATTGAAAACAGTGTAATATCAGCATCGTTCGGGGCCCAATAGCATGCACGCCAACATCCCTGAGATTTCTGAAACACAAATGAAATTCTCGTCTGGTCACTTATCTTTCAATTTCTTTTTAATTTTTTGTGGGTTATCCAATCACATTTTTAATTATTCCCACAAAACAAAATCACCCCCCAAAAAGTGATTTTTCCGAAGTCTGATTGCAGCCATTTTTCAAATGGCAACCCTCAACTTTCTGGGGAACTTAGGACCATTTTTCAACCGTAGTTTTTAGCCCTTCTGCTCTCATATGAAAGCTCAAAGACCCAGGGAGTTGATCCTGGCAACGATTTACACAATCTCAGCATTTTGGGGGCCAAACAATCCCCCTTTTCAAAAGATACTGTGGGAGGGCACTTTTAATGCTAATGAGTTGGTCAAAAATTCTCACTTGAATTAGTGGTTTGCGCCATAAGCTCCCGGTTTGTGTTTAGCGTTCTCGGAGCATACCATTCAAACCACAGGGGTGTGTAGCATGCTTACATACATGTAGCTTGCTCAAACTCCATTTTCCCCATTTATAATTGCCGCAAACATGCAAATATCTGAATGTACATGATCTTCGAAACATTGCCTATATACTGATTAAACACTGCACAGAATTACGGATGGTTAAGAGAGGTTTTTACCATGGAAATGAAGAGGCGAACCCGAAGATGAATGACACAGATGAAGTCCACGTACGTGCCATAGGTCGAGTTCGGGCGGCCTGTTCTTGACGCGGGTTTCTTGTTCTCGCGCTCGAACGGCGGGAACACGACTCAAGAACACTGTTCCCGGAACAGGATCACGCACCACCTCCTTGTCAGGGTTTTACAGGAATACACGGGAAAACTCGTGAGATTTTTTATTTTTGAACAGCCGCAAAAAATATCGAGATAGCACACAAAGCCAGGGACAATGGGAAATTTTTACAAAATTAACAATACTCATTTTCCATAGCAAAGAAATAATAAATGTTCCTTTTTAAAAAGAAAAGAATTCAGCCCAGCTTTCCAAAGTTTACTCTGAAAGAATGTACATGGATGCCGCCATGATGCCACGGACGAGTATAATAAAATCTGGATTCGCAATGCCCTCAATCAGCTCAATGAATCCACTCGCGGCCATTTTCCGAGCCGAATACAAAGCTTTCCTGGCAATGCCCGCCTTTATTTTCCTGACGTCAATAGAACGGAGCCAACCCACGCTTTTGTATTCGGCTCGGTAAAATGGCCGCTGGTTGGCTTCTTTTAATTTTTCATACAAAGGCGTTGCAAGTCCAGGTTTTTTTTTTATATACGTCCGTGCATGATGCGTGCAACAACCAGCAATAAACGGTTGTACGTTCCCGGTGTCCGAGCGGCCGACTGACGAACAACAAATCGAGCGGTTCGTTAACATAGGAGAACAAGCCGCCCGAACTCAGCCATAGTGTACAATGTACCATGTGCGAACACGTGGCCGGCAACTAGCGAGGCGCTTGGTCGAAGTTTAAAAGAGCTTCTCTGATTAGATCACAAATTTGACAGGTCAAGAATTTGACCAATTGAATTTGAGCTTATATGACAATACAAATTATTTTATGAGCTTTACAGACGCGTGGGAACTAGTTTTATACGATGTGTAGTTCGTGAGTTAGGTCAGTGTACAGTGGTGCCGGTCACCAAGTTGTTATGAAAAAAAAAACACCTCCGTGCCACAGAAAACGTGAACATTGCACAATTGGGGGTGAATTTTGACAGGTCTGTTCTTTCAATAAAAAAAAATAGCATTATATATGTGTATTTACATTGGAAACCAAATAATTACATAGTGAAAGAACTGTTGTGATACGTTGAGCTCAGTGTTTTGGAGTTAAGCCCTCATTTGCTCCCAAATGGCAGTTCCCTGATTTTCCAGCCCAGTTTTGACTGTATTTTGTAGTGTCTTGCCAACGGTGAATAACGTTACATAACAAACTGATATGGACGGTAAAATGAGTCGCGAGGGGCTCCATTAAATGGACTAGTGCTCAATTACAGTGAATGAAATATTGCGTGTAATATCACAGGAACGCCGGGGGCCAGGATTTTTTTGTTTTGGAAGGGGTCGGAATCTGCCGGGGCCGGTGGGGGGGTTCTGTAATAGTCGCCATTGTTGAAACCATTTAATCTCTTTGTTTTGTCGTCAACCAAATACACAAAAAGGCCCTCAAAGGGTTTATGTTGAAGGGGACTTTGAACTTAAACGTACGCTGCTAAGCACGAGAGAAATAAAATTGGCTGTGAGCAGGGGGCCGGGAGTGGACGTCGACCCCCAAACCCCTCTGGATCCACACCTGTATCTGTGATCCTGTGCGGACAGACTTCTGTCAAATGTGTATTTATTCACATTACGTACATGTACAATGTAAATCATCAGAGGTCCAAGATCATCGACAAAGGTACATGAAGCTTATAGGAACTCAGACAAGGTTAGGTCGATCAAATATTAATACAGGTGTGAACGACAGGACAAAACAGGATGGATGGCACATACTTCACCCCTCATCCTGAAACTGCCATACCCTTGTACACTGCGTCAGGTTTTCTCCCGCTGCGACAAATATCTGCTTTCAGAGAATTTCAAACATGATTTAACGGGAAAGGTGGACGACTGACCAAGAAAACGGTTCTTACCTTTAATGTTTGCCTGCAAAGGTTCTACTTGTTCCCTGCTAAACGAACGAAAGAGCCCTGGGAATCCAGTCTCGCCATCTCTCGGAGTCCATGGTTTTGCATCATCACTGTCCTCCGATGCCATCATGTCGCCACTCTCTGATGAGAATAATCCAGTGAAGGAGGCACTGTTTCCCAAGGCGACTGGTGATCTACTGCAGTGATCACCTTGCATGCATATCAGCAGGTTAATACGTCAGTATCATAATCGAACCAAACAGATGTACAGACAATACATCGCACGGTCATCTGAATAAATGTGTGTGGGTGAATGACATCCTTGACAAAGAGATGGCCTTTACGTATGCCAAATAGGCCTACTGTAATTTGCAAATAATGATTTCAACATCCATGATCATGCATGCATGAGCAAGCCTGGTTGTGTTGGTTGGGTATGTTGATGAGGTGTTTGCCACCCGTGCCGTCACGACCTCACTGTGTAAAGTAAATGTTCTTATTTTAGTCCTAATTATCCTCTGAAATACAATATAAAATAAAAATTTACAAATAACAAGAAAAAATTAAGACAACCAATGCTCACCCCACAACCAAAATTAAGCTCAATAAATACATGAAATAAATCCAACAATTTCTGTCCGCCAAGTAAAGACGGAAGGCTTTTGTGAATTTTAGACTAAAATGAGTAAACTGGGTTTGTTTGCGGTAGCACCCTGGATATATCTCTTTTTGAGGAGGTGGGATTCTGAAAAGAACCTGTGAGTGTAAATGTCAAATGTTTTAACTTTCCCTTTATTCCTAAAAGAGTTCGGTTAATCCTTTCACAAGCTCCCGACTGTATGATATAAATTTTCTCCCAGAAATTATAACACTTTGGGAACTAGGCATAAAGTGTTTCATTTATTCCTAGACTATTCCAAAGGGTTTTTATGGGGATTGCTGAAAATATGTTCTTATTGCTTTTTTTCGATCTTTTTTTACCAAAGGCTGTATGCTGTGTAAGGTTATAGTCAGTCAGAATTTCGTGGCACATAGGTAATTTGAAAAGGAAGGTGATTTATAAACTATGGAAAATTATGATACAGTCAATAATGATGGGAAAATTATTATGCTGCTGTCATTTTGAATGTTTGTCTTTTTCCAACGAACAATCAAAGTATTGTTTCATTGTAATGTATTGGTGATATTACCAGACCAGTAATTGTTGAATTATTCCTTCGTGTCATAATCGTGCCAACGTTTTGCAGGTGTTTGGATCTTGCTACAAAAAGTAATAACGGTAAACACATCGCATGTCACAAATGTTACACTACAAAGGTGACTATCAACATATCAAGGCTTGCCAGCATATACATGTACATGTACATGTCTTTATCTCACATATGTCGAGGAGTCCTCACGATGACTCTATGATGATTTCACAGTTGGTAACCAACTTCTGGTACAGGAATCTTATAGGGCACTAAGTGAACTAGGCACATCAGTCACTTCCAACGCGCGCACATAATGTTGAGACCAAATTGTCTCAAATGGAGTTTGTCGTAAATCAAACGGGAACACGGGAACAAACGAGAAGTCCCACTCTTATGCTTGAAACACCGTGACGCACTCATCAAAAGTCACACGGCAATACTATGGTGCACTATTTACGACACACATTTCTCTCTCTCTTTAGCCTCCCTCCAGGTGACGCAACTAGCAAACGCGACAGCACAACGGCACCGTCGCCTTCTTGCTATTAGGTTTGTACTCACATGACGTGTCGCGGTGTGTGTCGCACTGTGCCATCGTCCGTCGCGTCGTGTTGGCTTAGGTCGTTTCCTCGTTGCATTTTTTTCTGCCTAAACGTCGACCCTTCCGTCGCCCGTCGCGTTGCACCATCGTGCGTCGCGTCGTGTTTCAGGTGACGTAATAGGCAATGTGACGCACGACGCGAGGCGTCGTGTGCGTCCAAACGTAATGGCAAGAAGGCGACGGTGCGCGTCGTGCAGTCAGGTCGTGTAGTTACGTCGCCTGGAGGGAGGCTAGAGAGAGAAATATGTGTCGTAAATAGTACACCATACACTACAGCTGGAAAGAGCGTAAAAAAAATCCCACACAGGCAGCTCCACAACTCAGCCCTGTAAGTCACAAGGCTTACCAAGGTCAACAAACTATCTGTTTACAGCGCCGGCTCCAGTCAAAAGCTTCCAGACACATTGCCGTGATCCAGTGGCCTGCTACACTTTCTAAAGAGGGGGAGGGAGAATATTTTACAGCGGAGAAGAGATTGCGAGTATTAACACGTAACAGTGATTTTGTGCACAAACATATGAGGATGGATATTTGCCCCCCCCCCGTTTCCGTCACTGCCAGGACGATCCCATGATTGACACCCCTCTCAAGGAGAGTGAGAAGTCACGGGATCTCGTGAGGTGACGCGTGGCAGTTGGCAGAACGATCAAATCACGTGATTTTAGAGGCATTTCGGTCAAAACGTCCCTTGTGCATGTGGCAGGGAGGGTTCTATGGCCATCCTATATACATTTAGAACAGCAAAAAACCTTACGGGAATTCTATAGGTATCTTATAGAACGCAAAATTGTCCTATTAATCCTATAGAAATGTTTACAGTCCTCAGTTAAATCATGGTTAAATGTCCTATAGGACTCCTAAAAGATTCCTGTAGGACTCTTTTGTAAGGGTTTGTCTAATTACTCCGAACTTTCAGGCATGACACTGTACTAGGACAATGTAAACGATAGACCTGCATTTTTTATTTCTTTTTTTCAAAAATCAAGTTTGTTTTGAAACGGATTTACAAAAGTATGAGTAGGGCGCAAATTCAGTGGGCGAATGGGGATGGGGTAAAAGTGGCAGTGGGGCGCCGGTGGTTCACCGGGGGCGAAGTGACATGGGTGAAGCAGAAACGGGCGAAGCAACCTCGATTCCATGGGCTGCGTGTAGGATATTTCAATAGAAAGTTTTACTTAAAGGTACATACAACTTAAATGAGTATGGAAATTAATTGGCATAATCTACCAAACTAACGATCTCACACGTGGACAAAATTGAGGACATCACGCATCAGCAAGATCACTTTGATTGTAGTTGATCCTCCACGCTTTGAAAAATGTTCATGAAATTAAAATCAAACATCTTTATTCAAAGAATGTTTTAAAAAATGAGCAACAGTATACCCATAATAAAAAACTAAATAATAACACATTAACAGATTCAACAATTAAAAACAAATCTATTTGAACTGACGCACTCTAGGCAGTGTTCCGAACAAATACGACATCACGGCTTCCAACCTTGTCTTTACCGAGTGAATTTGCCTCAGTCCTCAAGTGTTTGTTTCTTGGAATTCTATACATAATACATACAGATAAACAAGTAAAACAAATATATTGCCAATGAAAACTGAGGAGCATACAAACTGAATAGTGTCCAATAAAAAGATCATGCCAATAAAAACAACCTGAGTTCCGAAATTTGACTGGACTCCCGCTGTATTAAGCATAATGTTCAAAATCACTTTCGCATACATGTAGTTAGGTTGTAATCGGTATGATTTTGTTTTTAAAAAACCTGAAACTTACGACTGCAAACAAATCCAGCTGCACGGTTATCAACAGTCCGGACTAAGGGCATTTAACGGCTGTGCAATTCTAAACAATTTTCCAGCAATTTTCCCTTTTAAAAGAGAGAGAAATTGGACCAACAAATTCTTCAGCCAGACTAATTTCCCCGTGCGCAGCATACGTGTAGCGCAAGTGCCGGTCTGGTGTGACGACCACAATTAAAACTTTTAAACCGTCAGGATGCACCGTGGTAAATATGCACAAGAGCCGTCCGCTGAGCTCGTTAATGAAAGTTATATACTCTCAGGGTCCTGAGAGCCACGGAACTGGGGAATTGAAGAATTATGGCACTGAACCTCTGGGCCCGATTCGAGCTTCCAATTCTGAGGAATTTGGATGCAGTCGGGTCCAAAAGTGGCACTATTTAGCCGTTTTGCAGAGGGATGCATTTTCAAAATGGCTACTTTTCCGGGTAGTGAAATTTCCTTCCTCATAGGGGTGGCCTGCTCTGGGTGAGAATTTCTCAAAAATTCATCGGTCAACCCACTAAAAATTGAAAGGAAAATGAAAGAGGACATGTCGAACTTCGTTTTTCTTGGCAGCCTGAACACCTGTGAGAATTGTATTTTTAAAAATATTTGTGAAGTATGGGGATTTATCACTGCTGTCTATGGGAATTTATTTGCCGTGGTGCACCCATAGGTCTAGAACGGTAGCGGCCATGTTGTTTTGAACGGGATTTAAACATGTGCTCTCTGTAGCTGTCTCTGTCAACTAAGCTGAAGTGGACAAAACTGAAATAAAATAGACGTAAAACAAATTATTTGACACTCTGTACCTCCGAATTTGAGGTTTTTATTGCAAAACACGACAATGGAATAACCATGTACAGGTGGCTGTACTGTTGGAAAGTTGTAAACGCAGAGTCTTTTACCTCAGTCACTGCTTGTTCTTTTTTGTCTTCTTTGGAAGTTTTCTTTCACAAAATTGTTGACTTGTACACAGAAAAGGCATTTTTTTTCAGTTAGTGAATTTTAATTTTCTGTTCGTGGCAAATATTTTGTGGGGACTTGACTACGTTTAGACAACATGGAAAATAATAGCATGGGTGGCATGTCCAAGGTAGAAATTTTGAAAACACACTGCAAAATGGCCGAACTGGATTTATGGTGCAAACGACTGCATGACATTCAAAACATCAGTCACTTTCCATTGTCCAATACCTTACTTCTTGGGAAAACGTTTGCAGTAATTATGTTCACTTTGGATGAGGAGGCAGTCAGCCTGAGTGCTTGTGTCACATTTCAAATCATCTTTGGCTTCTTGTTGGTCACGTTTGTACAACGGATACGTGGTATAGTACAGATGGAACCTTTGTGAACGCAATTGCGCCCTGCGTGATTTGTACTGCTGACTTTTCCCACGTTTGGCATGATACATGTACTTCTGTTTCTTATCCATTTCAGTAAGGGCTTTGGCAGATGGCGAGCCACCAGTTATTGGGCAACCGGCAGCTCTACACTTTTGGACTACTGAATTGGCGTGTCCATTATTCACCAAGCGCACTGGGATGCGCTGTGATCCCGACAAGATCCATTTCTTGAGAAGGTTAGTGTTGCCTTTGGATTAGTTACTGCAAAGGCATAATTCATTGATACAGCTTTCTGAGTACTGGTACCATATTTAGTTTTGTCCAGGGTTTCTTGTCAAAGTTTCTTGCTTAGTACTCTGAGAAGAGTCTGTTCATCACAAGTTGACAATTTCAGTTTGCCACGGGCATCGACTGGCAGATATGAAAATTTACATTTACGCTTCCACCCCTACAAATTTGGTGACCACTTTTTGCAAAGGTCACGATTTCCAATGTAAGACTCAGCAACTGCACTTGCTGCATTTTCAGACATGGTTTTCATTTTGGAAGAGTTCCTGCCACTGTTTTTCAGTATGGCAGCCAGCAGCAGCCTCGGCCTGTGCCCTGTGGCTGACATCATCGGCAAATTGATCCTGCAGCTTTATCTTTTCCTTTTTATTTTGGCCTGGAAACATCTCTGGACTGAATTTTGCACGACTTAGGGCTGTAGAGAGGGATCGGTTTAAATGAGGAGGGTCTAATAAATGCTCGGTTTCCATACCTGCAGTCTTACTTTGCATATGGGAACTTACACCTTCTGCCAGACAACCGTCGGCATCGGTTGTCACTCTATTTACAAAACGACGTTCTTTACAGTTTATCAGTTTTGGGTACATTGAATGCCACCTTCACGTTCATCT